GAGCGGTTCACTCGCTCTTCCTGCACCAAATACGCGACGTCGAACACGATCATTGCTCACGCGGTGTTCCCACCAGACATGAGCTAAGCTGCGAAGGCAGCGATGATCGAATGTGACTAGCCTCTTTAAGTCTGTCGACCTGATGGGCCAGGTTTCACAACCATATAAGAGAGTAGAACGGACGGCTGCGTTGTAAACTCTGCCTTTCAGGGCGAGAGTAATGTCGCGTCTGCGCCACAGGTGGCGGAGATTGGCAAAAGCACCTCGAGCTTTTGCTATGCGGTTCGTAACCTCATCTTCAATCCCACGGGTGCTAATATAGCTGCCCAGGTACTTGAATTCCTGAACGACTTCTAGCAGATCACCACCAAGCGTTAGCGCAGGGTTGGGTCCCTGCCAATCTTGGAGAAGTACTTTGCATTTCGATGGAGCAAAGCATAGCCCAAAACGACTGACAGCCAGTGCTAATCGGTCCAGTGCTCTTTGGCATGTTTGGAGGCTGTCACAGATTAGGGCAATATCGTCCGCATACTCCAAGTCAAGAAGTCGCTCACCAGGAAGTAGCTCCACACCATCTAGGTCGTGTCCAGCGAACGCTGTTTCTATGACTTCATCAATAGCGAAATTGAAGAGGAAAGGTGACAGCGGGCATCCTTGTCTCACGCCGCTGGTGATACTGAAGGGTGGCGAGAGTTTGCCATAAACCCTCACCCTGCCCGAACTATGCGCGTACAGCGCTTTGATAATGTTTACATATTTATCAGGCACACCTTTCCTCAGCAGACAGTCCCAAAGGGCACATCGATCGACCGAATCGAAGGCACCTTTTATGTCAAGAAACACGACAACGGTGGGTCGCCAATAAACATGGCGGTGCTCCAACACTTGACGCAATGTGAAGATGTGGTCGATGCAGCCCCGACCTCGACGAAATCCGGCTTGCTCTTCACGAATCTGGCTTTCACGAGTGCCAGTCAGTCTGTGGAGGATGACAGAGGCAAGCAATTTAGAGGCAATCGAAATCAGACTGATCCCTCTATGATTGCCGCATTCCAAACGAGAGCCTCCCTTGAAAATTGGGACAATGACGGAGCGGTTCCAGTCTGTCGGGACTGTCTCCTGCTCCCAAAGTCTTACTAGCAACTCGTGTAGATCATCTACTAGAGCAGGTCCCCCGAATTTGAAGAGGGCTGGGGGAATTCTATCTGCTCCTGAGGTTTTATGCAATTTCAATAGCCGGATCTCACGTTCGACCTCTGCGCGTGAGGGCGGATCCGAGGAGACGGCCCAAGGAGAAGGGCGCTCAATGCCCGAAGAAGAAAGCGATAACGCAGGTTTGTTAAATTGCCTTGCAAAGTGTTCGGCCCAACGCTCCAAGCGTTTTGACAAGCTGTGGATCGGCTGCCCACCCTCGTCGCGTATGGTCTCGCTAACACCAGGTCTCCTGCTGCCTGTTTCCCGTATCAGACGGAATAACTTACGATGATTACCCACGGCAGCGGCTGTTTCCATCTCAGAGGCACGATGAGACCACCAGGTTTCGCGGTCCTTCTTCAGGCTAGCACTTAGTTTTGCCCTGAGATTTTTGCGAGCCTCATTGTATTCGCTTCCAGCCGGAATACGTCGGCGAGCATCCATAAGTTCCATAGACTGTGTAGAGACCCAATGTCCGGTTTGGTAATTTGCTTTGCCACATGAAGACATGCCTGCGGACAGTAACGTTTGACGAAGATGCGACCAGTGATCTTCAACGGTGTTTAGTGGGCGCTTACTCAGCCCAGATGTCAGCGCACTATGGTATACATTCAGAACATCTGGCTTCGCCAGCTGGCTGGTGTCAATCCGTTCACCTCGACGTTGAGGACGTCCACCGAAACGCACCAGGAGGTCGGCACAGACAAGTGCGTGGTCAGAGTCCACGCTCGTGCTCCAAATTGAGCGACAATTTCGGACACATCCCCTCCAGCGGTAACTGATCGCGATATGATCGATTTGTGTCCATGATTGGCCCGAGGCTGATGGCCGCCAAGTCACGCTTCTGCGGGTGCTGTGTCGGAAGTTAGTGCTCGCGAGAAAGAGGCGAGTATCTTCACACAGATGTAGCAATCGCTCACCATTATCATTACGCGAGCCAACACCATGTTGGCCGCCCAGATGAAGCTCATCAGAGGACAACTTTCCGACTTGGGCGTTTAGATCACCAGCCAACACCACAGTATCCGTGCTTCTTCTGTAACGAAGGAGCTCGTGAACTTGCTGATAGAAATCATCTTTTACCGAATCAGTGCTACAGTTTGTAGGGGCGTAAGCCGCAATGACAAACAGGCACCGTTTGTCCCCGCGCGACTTCGTAGCACGGAAGGAACCAGCTAATCTAACGGCACACATCCTACTGTTTACTGGGATCCAATCAATCAGAGCAGCTTCAGCCCGGGGACTCAAAACAATGCCGACGCCAGCTTGACCGGCATTTGAAGCTGCATCATCGCCAGACAGGCGCAATGAGAATGTGCCGCCAGTGTCGCATGTGGGGGATCTCAGGGTAAGTACGGAGCTCGAATCTTGCAGGCGGGTTTCTGATAAACAGCAAATATCGATCGATAGGGTCTCTAGTGTGCGGGCAAGTGCTGCCTGTTGGCCAATCTGCAGCAAAGTGCGCACGTTGAAGCATGCCAGTCTTAGCGAGACGCGAGGACTCCAAAGGGAAACGGATGAACTGACGTTGTCCGCTTGCTTGAACATGGACTTGTCAACTGGATTGGAGCGAGGCTCAAGAAATGGTGAAGGCGGGAGCAGTAGGCAGTTAGTGCAAGCTTTTCCAGCTGCTCCGCACCACCGGTCGCAAGAAACCGGGCGTCACTGAGACAATCAGACAATACAAATAAGGAGCGCCGTATGGCTCGTTGGGTGGAACACGTTCAAGATCAGTTCCGTTGGCCACTTGCTCCCGGACCTCTTCCTACTCAGGTGATGCAGGATGGGCCATCGACGGTTAGTTTAGAGGCTCCATCGGAAGGTGGCATCCGAAACGCGATCACGGCTCTCAATAGTTTTCTTTTGCTGGCCCGGATTCCTTCCCACCTGCACTATTTAAAGACGGAGGTGAGGTCGTCTGCAAAGCACTATTCAAACATATCGGGAAGAAAGTGTCACAGCTAACTGGAGTGAATCGATTATAGTGGCAATATACAAGAAGGGCAGTCGTACAGACTGTGCTAACCACAGAGGCATTAGCCTAACGCCTGTTGTGACACCATTGCTGGCCTCGATTCTCGTTCGTCGCCTCACTGCGGAACGGGAATCTTATATTCGTGAAGTACAGGCAGGTTTCCGCCTGGGACGTGGCTGCCTAATCCATATATTCACTCTGCGGCAGATGCTAGAGCAGCGCCGCGCATACTGCAGACCGACAATAGCTGTATTCATCGATTTCAACAGTGCGTTCGATTCAGTAGATCGATACGTTCTGATCGAACTTGTGTTCCTATGAAATATGTGAACTTCTTACGTGCCCTAAACTCGAACACGACAGGCCGCATCACTGTCTACGGTGGCTTGTCGGATAGCTTTCCGACAACAAGTTGCGTTCGTCAGTATTGTCCGATTTCCCCGTTTTTATTCAATTTTGTCTTGAACTCCATCATGGAGTGTTCCCTTACAGAATCTCACGGTGTAGGCTTTGACGTCCTGCCCGGTGGAATGCTAGTTGATCTTACTTGGGCGGACGATATCGTCTTGCTTTTTGTCGGTGTCGTGGCGGCACAGTCAATCATGAATACCCTCTCTAGAGTGGTCCCATTAATCGGTATGCGCTTCGCACCTTCAAACTGCAAAGTGTTTCTGCAGGACCACTAGACACTTAACGACTCCTTTACCCTTGATAACGAGGAACTCGGGTTTGTTGATCGATTCGCTTACCTTGGCAACTGCATCTACAACGATAAGCACATAGAAACTGAAGTCAGTTCACGTATTGCAAAGGCCAGGGCTGTCTTTTTAAACCTGCGACATCTTTTGTGACCGAAGAGAGTTTCCCTCGGTCTGAAACATCGTGTTTACAAGGCCACAGTGAGGGCAGTCCTGTTCTATGAAAGTGAGACTTGGCCCCTTCGGTCTGAAGATCTTAGGCGCATTCTAGTCTTCGATCATCGTTGTCTGCGAAGCATTGTCGGGTGGCACCAGCGTGTCCGCAACGATTATGTACGTAGGCAAGTACTAGGCAGTGATAACCAAGCTGGTTCCTTTGAACAACAGATAGCACTGAATAAGTCGTCTTGGCCTGGGCATGTACTACGTATGTCTGGTCACCGCTTACCGAGGGTGGCCTTGTTTTGTCTGCCAGGTGTAGGGTTGCGCAAGGCTCGAGCTGGTTTTAGCAGCGTAAAATGAAGTCACTGAAGACCAAACTGGATGATATCGGCCCGTCTCACTTTCCAGCCTAGAGTCCAGTTGACTCGCCTTGTGCTTGGCTCGAGACTTTACATGACATGGCTCGCAGTCGACATCGGTGGCGTGTCTGCTGTTTACATATGTTTGGCGCTGAGTTATCAGCGGGGAAATGGTTGATTATGACACCGGGCAGTGAACACCGCAAGGAAGCTTTCTCCTTGATGCCGCCTTATCTTTGCACGATAGCCAGCTGTTTGTGATTAAATGTTGTTGACACAAAATTTAGCCACCTTGACCCTGAATGTTTGCTTAGGACCTTAAGGGTTTCCGGTAAGTCACCCTCAGTATTCTTCATTCCATCTGTCATTGTGGTTTTATGACAGTGAAGCATCAGTTCAAATGGCTGATGTACTGCCGTGGATGATAATGATGCTGATGACGATCGACGCTCAGCTGATGCCATTTGTCCACGCTAATTGGTTAAGAGTTGCTTATTCGTCTATCTTGTTTTCATAGTAACTCTTCCTTGCTTTGCCTGCCTGGAACCTTTCTCTAGCTCGCTTATTACTGCTATTTTACGGCTAACTTATCTTATTTACAATCACTTGCAGACGAATTCGAGGAGGAGCGGCACGTAGATGGTGTTGGCGACCAACTGCGGGTCACTACAACTTACGGACATCGTCGGGATCACGGTGTTTCTGGCCGCAGATCATTTCCATCCGACATGATCCGGCGTGCGATGGCCATGAACGTAAGGTCTTCGTTTTTGTTTCTTTCCTATCCGCCTCTCAGTATCAAAACAGCACCTGTCGTAGTACGCTATCTTTGGCGTGTGACGTTGCCGTTTCGTTACCTATCACTGGCTTTTTGTTATTTGACAAGCTGCTTTCTATTCATGGCTTCAGTTGGAGTGCTGTGGATGTGACTCCTTTCTATGTACCTTTTAATTAAATTTCATGGCTCTACCCGGCCTCAGTAGGTATGCACTTGTATGTATATGCTGGACCTCATGCTGAGGTTTATGGTTAATAGATTATGCTTCTTCACGGCAGTTGGACCAGTGTGACCTACGCTTGTCCCGCATTACGCAACATCTGATTAAATCCATTTTCTTTTATTTGTTAAGTTCCGTTAATCCTCCGTATATGTCCTGTCTATTTTACGCATTTTTCCGTCATTTTCAGTATCAGTCGGTTAATATCATCTATCCAAGAACACTCATAAACTTGATCAGACTTCATGTACATTTTTGTTGTGCTCTCTACTGTCATTCTTCCACACTTTTACTGCCCATTTGCCTGTATTTTTTCATATTATGTTTAATGTTCCCAGTGTGGGCGCGCTTGATATGAGTGTTCTCACGGCGCTTACTTTTCGAAAAATCGCCATCTTGATTATATTGGCTCTAGAAGACAGTTGATGTTTGCTTAAAGAGACGGGGGTTCACGGTCCTCGTGACCTTGCTAAACTCAAAGAGTGGTTCCATCCAGTGTGGAGCGGACTACGGCCCAGCCACCGTCTTGTATACGTCTGGTACGCATGATTTCCCAATTAGATAGACAGGAATGCTGACGCTGTGCATGTTGAAGCAGTGTGGGCCGGTTCTGTTGATGGAACCTGGCTTCCATGCGCATGCTCCCTGGTCTTATTCCTTAGGGTTTACAGTGGATATGGAGTGTGTGGATGGAGTTGTTGCTGTTGCAGCGCAAGCCACCCATGGTCCCCCTGTATGCACAGGCTTCTTGTGGCCGTCCTACGGAGGCCGCAATGACAGGCAAATCCGGAACCGGATGCTGCTAACCATGTATATGCTGATGTTCAAAAAGATATCGAACTGAGATAGCGTGTCGATCGGCAGAGGAAGTGTGCTGCAACTACTGAGGACACGTAAAGGCCTGTTTAGACAATAGGCTGCCTTTGTCACATTTTACGCTGACCGTTAGTTGTCGTGCGTTCAGTAGCCGCAGCACGCTCACTCTGTCAGTCGGCACGTTATTTCAAGAATCCGGTTTGTTTTTGAACCCATTAGTATACCTTCAGCGGTCTAGGGATAGACGTAGAGCCATCAAAAACGTGCAATTAATGGAAGATACGGTTGTCGAAAGAGACAGAAGAACACGACACAAAGAAATCCTTGGTTACCTTATGGGGCTTGATACCACGCGGCTGTCCAAGCCGAAGTGCGGACCTCACTTTGAGACAATACCCCTACTCTTTGGCTGAATAGCCGACTCGTAAGGCAGCGGTGCGAAATCGGGGAATCCCCCTCACTGAGAGGAGCCGGTGGCTGAGTACTCAATTCCTACGCCTTTCACTTATTCGATTACTCAACAGGGGCCCAACGTCCCCACAATCTCAGCTTCGAGTTGCTTAAATACAATGCTCCATCGGAGTGAAACAAAGATCAGTGACTTTATTTAGTGGTGCGTCACGTACGTCACGTCGCAGTGCTGTTAAACAGACATGTGTGGCTTTTTATGGGGGAACGCTTGTCAAGCGAACATCCACCACTTCCTAGACCACTGCAGCCGAACCATTATCTGTAATGATATAAGTCTGAATCACCCACCTGGTACCACGAGGTTGTTCGACGAGCCGGCTTCCAATGACTTGTTGTCTAACGGTCTGTTCTGTTGTATGATCAGCTCTGACACCAACATGGATACTCAATTGCATGGTTTAAGAGCTTGCTTGTAATAACTAGGTATATTGTCAACCCGGTCAGCGGAAAGGACAAGGCATCTTCCTTGCAACTTTTCCTTCTGGTTCGAACCTATGTAAGTGGACCGGGTGACTCTCGCAGTGTCCCTAGCCTACGCGCAACGGGTAGTGGTGACGTGGCAGCGAAGCGTCGGTGTGGTGTACCGGTGTAGTGCTGATGCCTGTTGTCAAGCGGCGTTTATTGGAGCTCTCTAGCCCTCACCAGAGCTTGTTCCTCCACTAACGGTGCGCAAAGAGCTTGCTGTGATGGGGAGTAGTTGAGTACGGGGATAACCGTCTGTCCATCTTCGATGCTCCCTTAGCTCCGTCCAGGCGATCTAGGACGCTGTGTTGAGCACTTTACTGAAGCACTGTAGACGTTCCGAGTGAGAGTGACGCTTTGTGCCATCATCTCATGCGCAGCATTATCATGCGTTTTGACTTATTTAATGTAACTTTATCTCTCAAAATCTTCCTTTTGCAGCTACTTCCTGTTCCATCTGGATCATCGCCGAGTTCCCAAAACAGTGGTCTTGGGCTAGGCGAAATCTGGGCTCGGATCACTATAATCTACGGCATTTCGTACCCGTTTAACGTGTTGCAAGAGCTCGTCAACACTGCATTTGGTACCCAGCTCCGGTTCTATAACGCTTGCGTTGAAGGTCGTAACGCAGTTATGTATGCAAAAGTCAGGCAAAAACAGGTGAGTTTGAGTTTGAGTCCCTTTGCTTCACACACGTTCCCAGGATTAGGGAAATTGGAGATGCAGTCGTTATTTTCCAGCACGACGCCGCTTCAACACATTTGTTGTTCGCTGTTCCGCTGTAAATTTATCTTTGTTTTCCTTTCGTATAGTCAATATTCATCCTATTAAGTTACAGGCCAGGTATTCCCGTTGGTTTCTATCTACCAAACATTGGCGATCCCGATGGTTCGGTGCCGGGAGCTTTATCGCTAAAATGGCCTATTTTCAGGCTATATTTGATAGAACTTGTAAAGAGCACTTTATCTTCCCTACGAATTTGCTTTGCTACCCCCATGTTGGCTGCTAGGCCGGCGTCATGCGTTGTTTTCTGTGATGACAGACTTTGTACTCCAGTTAAAGTTTTGACTCAACAAAGTCCACACTTTCCCGTATATCATCCAACGCGATCCAACGATAAAAGCCTGCGAAGAATTTCTTGTGACTTTCAGTCTGTATCATACAACTCAGTTGCCATCATAAAAGTGCAACTGCATCTTTTGTGGGATGAGTTCAAACTTCACTGGTTTGCAGAGTACTTTGTCACCGCAGTTGGTTTTCGTCCCCTAAGAACTGGTTTATTCAGTCGCACTCTTTTGACAATGGTTGGCCCCACCGATCCGCTATGGTAAACGGTGCATTCGCCATACTTTGAATCACCCTCGTGAGAGGACGATTCAGTGGACCCCCCCTTTACCTTCGATTCTCCGTCGATCTTGATTTAATGTTTTGTGATCTTCATCTTGTTGCTTTCAATATAGGAATGGATCCTAACATTCTTCGTCATCGAAAGCTTATTATCGTTCCTTCACCTTAAAATAGCTCATCGTCATCATCATTATACACGTTAGCTAGAGGTGGGGAACACCTCAGCTACTGTGCCGCAATACATAGAAAAAAGGAGAAAAAATGCAACTGGTGCAAGCTGGATGAGCTACCGGTAACGGATGGGCATCGTTCCGGTAAGCTACCAGCCGGCTGCTGTGCACCAAAAAAAATTATTATGCAAAATTATATAAGGCTAAATAATGAGATCGTGGTTGGAGGGGGAGGCTAAGAGGAATGGGGTGGGACAAAGAAACTCACAGCACGAACGCCACTGAGGTCGGCTCCTAGCCATATCAGCAAGTGTGTCCAACCAAACGTGTTCATCGTCTTTCGGACCCCAACCAGGGAGCCGAGACGCTCCAACCGAGGCCAGCTCAGAAGTGAGGGCCTTCATTCCTCTCGACCAAGTCATCGCTTGGCCACCCCTCCTCTCTTAAAATAGCTAACTGCTTGGAAACTGACAAACTCAGTTTCACTGCTCTTCACTGGGTACCGGGGCGTCTTTGGTTCACGGAGTATTAGTTCAAGTCGATTGATGATGCGATGAGCGTCGACATTTGCCTTGGACTTTAAAAGAATATTCTTCATTCATTCGCTTTCTGTCACTTATTTCAAGCAGCGCTTGAACAAGAAGTTGCATATTCGCTAAAACGTTTACGATTGTTGGGCATGTCGACCACTGCGTTCGGAAAACACTCGTTTATCGTCCTGATAGACCCGAGTGTTGTGAGCCTTATTTAGATTCTTGTCATCTACCGAGCTGGTATGCGTCTCGATTTTCTATGAAGGGGCGTTTTCAAGCATAAACTGGAAAATGACCTGAAGCAGAGGCATTTAATATGGGTGATCGGGAGCGACGAAACGGGACCTTAACGTGGTGCAATGGTTTACGTGCCTCAGTGATCCATTGAGCCATGCTGAGCGGGGCATGGTACGTTCCAAGCTGCGATGTCGCGCGGCGACAAACGATGTGTGTTTATCATTACTGCCTACGCCCCTACAAACTGTAGCACCGATTCGGTGAACGATGATTTTTATCACCGACTTAACGATCTCCTCCGTTACAGAAAATGCACGTATACTGTAGTGCTTGCTGGTGTTCTGAACGCCCAAGTCAGAAACTTATCCTCTGCTACACTTCATCTGGGCGGCTAACATGGTGTAGGCGCTCGTAATGATAACGGTGAGCGGTTGCTGCCCTTTGCGAAGATGCCCGTCCCTTTCTCGTGACCACTAACCTTCGGCACGGCACCCGCAGTAGAGTGACTTGGCGCCCACCAGTCATGGACGCAGATCGATCACATCACGATCAGTTACCGCTGGAGAAGCTGCGTCCAAAACTGTCACTCAATTTGTAGCACAAGTGTGGACTCTGATTACGCTCTTGTGTGTGCCGACCTTCTGGTGTGTTTCGGCGGACGTCCGCAACCTCGTTACGAGTGCATAGACATCAGCCAACTGGCGAACCTAGGTGTTCTGAATGTGTATCAAACTACGCTGGCATCCGGGCTGAATTAGCGCCCATTGAACGCCGTTGAAGGTCACTGGTCGCATATTCGCCAGACGTTACTATCTGCAGGCATGCCTTCCTGTGGCAAATCAAATTGCCAATCTAGACATTGGGTCTCTATACAGTTTCTGCAACTTATGGATGTTTGCCGTATTCCAGCTGATAGCGAACATAAGGAGAGTCGTAAAGATCTCATGGCAAAATTGCGTTTTGGTCTGAAGAGAAAACGCGAAGCTTGGTGATCTCATCATGCATTTGGAAAGAAAGCAGCCGCGGTCGTTGGCAACTGTCGTAATTTATTCCATCTGAAACGGGAAACGGGCGGCAGGAGGCCTAGTGTTAGCGAGACCATACGTGACGGGAGTGGACAGCCAATTCACAGCTTGTCAAAACGCTTGGAGCGTTGCGCTGAACACTTTGCAAAGCAATTTCACCAACCTGAGTTATCACTTTCCTTTTTGGGCATTCAGTGTGCTTCTCCCTTACCATCTTCGATCCGCCGTCACGCGCAGAAATCGAACGTGAGATCGAACTGTTGAAATCGAATAAGGCCACAGGGGTAGGTATAATTCCCCTAATCTTCGAATTCGGGGACCTGCTCTTCTAGCTTATTTACACGAGTTACTAGTGAAACTGTAGGAGCAGGAAACTATCCCAACAGACTGGAGCCGCTCCGTCATAGTCCCATTTTTCAAGGGGGGCTCCCGTTCAGATTGCGGCATTCATCGACGGATCAGTATGATCTCAGTTGCCTCTAAATTGCTTACATCTGTCGTTCTCCACAGGCTGACTGACACTCGTGAAAAATTCGCGAGGAGCAAGCCGGGTTTCGTCAAAATCGAGGTTGCATCTACCACATCTTTACCTTACTTTAATTGTTGGAGCACCGCCATATTTATTGGCGACCCATTGTAGTCGTGTTTCTCAAAACCAAAGTTGCCTTTGATTCGGTGGATCAGTGTGCCTTTTGTAACTGTCTGCTCAGGAATGGCGTGCCCGATAAATACGTCCACCTTATCAGAGCGTTGTCCGTGCATACTTCAGGTAGAGGGAAGCTTTATGGCAAACTGTCGCTGCCCTTCAGTATTTTCAGCGGTCTGACACGCGGTTGCCCACTGTCACCTTTCCTCCTTAACTTCATCATTCGTGATGTCATGGAACCAGCTTTCGCTGGACACGACCTACAAGGTGTGAACTTACTTCCTGGTGAGCAAGTTCTTGGCGTGAAGTATGTTGACGATATTGCCTTCCTCTGTGACAGCTCCCAACGTGCCAAGCAACACTGGACAGATTAGCACTGGCTGTCAATCGTTTTGGGCTATGCTTTGCTCCCTCGAAATGTAAAGTCCTCCACGATTGGCTGACACTTGGTGGTGATCAGCTCGAAGTAGTTCACGAATTTAAGTACCTCGGTAGCTATATTAGCACCCGTGGGATTGAAGCTGAGATCACGAACCGTATAGCAAACACCGAGGGGCTTTTGCCGCTCTCCGTCAGCTTTGGTACCGGCACGACATCACTCGCCTTGAAAGTCAGTTTACAGTGCAGCTGTCCGTCCGACCGTACTGTACAGTTGTGAAATTTGGTCCATCAAGTCTTCAAACATAAAGAGGCTAGTTACGTTCGATTGTCGCTGCATTCGCAATTTAGCTCATGTCTAGTGGGAGCACCGCGTGAGCAATGTATGTATTCGACGTGTGTTTGGTGCAGGTAGAGCGAGTGAACTGCTGTGCACAGTACCAGCACACACTAGCCTCCGATGGCTGGGCCACGTGTTGCGCATGCCAACACACCGCCTTCCGCGACTTGCGTTGTTTGCACGCCCGGGGTATGGATGGAAGCTGAGGGGATGCCAAGCGATCACTTGGTTAGGAGGGATAAAGTCCCTCACTTCGAAGTTGGCGTCGGTTGGTGTTTCCTGACTGCCTGGCTGGGGTCCGAAGGGCTATGAACACGTCTGTTTGGATACACTAGTTGACATGGTTAGGGGCCGACCTCATTGGCACTTGTGTCGTGAGTTTCTTTGTCCCTCCCTCCAATGAAGATCTCTCTCTCTAGACACCTAACATGTTACTAAGTTAAGTGTTTCCGGTTCTTTTTGCATTCTATAATGTTCTGTGTGTTGCTTTTCCGTATGTCCTATATGTATTGCGACACAATAGTTGGAGTACGTTTCTCACCGTCATTTAATGTGTAATGATGATAACCGCTTAGCTTCATCTGGCACTAGAGATTTATAGACTAACTATTGTTTAACTGCGGTTGGTTTCCATTAATCGTACCCGCCTCAACTGGGTTTAGGTGTATGCTTACTACTTCAACCTGCACCGAGTGGAAGCCTATTCCCTTTTATTGGCTCTTAAGTAAGTCATGTATGTTGGACAAACCGGTTAAATAGCACTGGTGTTTGTCAGTCGTCCTTCTTATGCCTCCTCGAAAAATATCTGATAGTTTCTAATCGCCTTCAGCATGTCTGCCTTATGTTTCACCTGCGAGCCATTCGGCTGATCTCGGCGTTTTGTTTGTCTATAACACGCCTAGTTAGGTGAAATTCCGAGATGTTTAATCATTGCCATGGTAGATGTGCAAGAAGGAACTCACTGATGGGCTGCATTGAGTTGGTGCCCATCGGGATCGATCTTATAACTGGGTAGATGATGAGTGTTGTTGCGTTCTCCGAGCTGGGCAGTTTTGTTGCAGATGTTTCTTTGCTAAGCTACGCAACATCTTCAGTGTGACATGAACACAATCTAGCCATCCGCCCCATGGTGAAAAATCACTAATCTCAGTATATATGTATGCCAAAAGCCATCAGTTCCATCTGATGAACGACAAGATGCTAGCAAGAGCAAAGAACCACAGAGTGTGTGAATTCATCAAGGGCTGGCGTTCGGGCCAGAACTCGATTAACGAACATTTGGAACTAGAGAGGATCTACAAAGCTCTGCAGCTGAGGTCAGCAATAAGTGTCAGCTCCACAGGGCGAAAACGGGACTACTTGACCAACCCACGTGAGCCAATGGAAGGATGACATTCAGAGCAGACGATCAACAGTCACTTGAATCCAACTGTGGCTTACGAGACTGTGAATCAAACCGCGATAGCCGCACTGAAGATGTTGTCCAGCTTAGCAACGAAACGACTGCAACCGAATTGACCAGCTCGGAGAATCATCATCATCATCAACAGCAGTACATCAGCCATTTGAACTGATGCTTCGCTGCCATACAACCATGAGGACCTATGAAATAAAGAATAAGAAGATGGAGGATGGTCGACCAAGAAGCATGCTCCAGGATTGAACAGCGGTCAGTTATCAAGTTTTTGTTTGCTGAAGAGTGCAAAGCAATTGAAATGCATAGGAGAATGTCAATTGTGTATGGTGCCACATGTTTCAGCCGAAAAAATGTCTACAAGTGGGCAAAATCGTTTGAAGAAAGACGGAGCAGTGTTGAGGATGAAGTCAGGCCTGGGAGGCCTACAGAAGTGAAATCTCCTGAGGTGATCGAATCAGTCAATGCCCTCATTCAGTCGGACAGAAGGGTGACAGTGGATGACATTTCAAGGACTTTGAGCTTATCTGTTGGGGCGGCACACAAAATTGTCCATGTCATCCACTGTCACCCTTCTGAATGAGGGCATTGACTGATTCGGTCACCTCAGGAGACCTCACTTCTGTAGGCCTCCCAGGCCTGTCTTCATCCTCGAAACTGCCCCGTCTTTCTTTAAACAATTTTGCCCACTTGTAGACATTTTTTCGGCTGAAACATGTGGCACCATACACAGTTGACGTTCTCCTATGCATTTCAATTGGTTTGCACTCTTCAGCAACCAAAAACTTGATAACTGACCGCTGTTCAATCCTGGAGCATGCTTCTTGGTCGGCCATCTTGTTAATCGCTAAAACTCACAAAGTTGTTTTTCAGTCCGCAAAAGAAAGTACATCCATGGGAAAAAGAGGTAAAACAGCAAAAATAAACAAAAAGTAAGCTTCTATCTGTATTAGAAGTCCTTATACCGAAAAATTCACCTTATTTATTGTATGACCCTCGTAGCTGTTGCAAAAATAAGAAAAGTACTGGTGAGGAACTAACTCGTTTGATGTGACGATAGTCTGGCTTCATGTGTGCGTAGTAGTGTACAAGTGAAGTGGTGATGGAATGTGCAGATGGGAACGTATCTTGTGGTGCACGTATCAATAATAGTGAAGTGTGGCGCTAATCAACCTGCCAGTCTGAAGCCTTGGGTTGTGATTTTAATTGTTGGCGAGTCACATCCGCCACGTCGCAGTGTCGTTAGGCGGACATTTGAAGCTTTTTATAGGGAGACTGCTTGCTATGCACAAACCCACTACGTCCTGAAACACTGCCGTCGATCCACTTGCACGGTACTATGAAACTGGCAATGCATCTTACCGACTGATTATTCGCTCGGCTATTCGCAGTCGAGTTGCACCCGAATGGCTTAGTCGGGGTCCGCCATTACTCGTTGAAGTTGATCAAGGATGAAGTAGGGTCATGGAAAATGGGGCGGAGATTTGCGAAGGTGAGTAAAAATCTCGAGTTAATGGAGGTTTGGGTTTTTCTGTCATGGTATACTTCTCCGGATTGTGAGGACTTGGTGTCCAGCTATCCACGCTGGACTTGTGTCAAGGTGATGTATGCAGTTCAATCCTGGTTGGAACAGCCGTCCAGTGCGGGATCCCTAGAAAGTTCCCGATGACCTTTCTGGACCTCCGAGAAAGGAGAAAGCGAGAGACGAGCACTCAAGTATGTCACCGGGAGCATAAAAACACCATTCGTCTGCGTAATGTCATAGTATGATATTTGAGGCTCTTAAACTGCTGACCGAAGCCTCGTCTTCTTTATCACCAAATCGGAGCGGTCATGTTCAAAGCAGGCTCAAAACGAAACCGCGACTTTGGGGACCATAGTGTCTTTCTATTCGCACAATTTCTTGCTTCTCTGGCCGTCACAGAGGACAATCAACAGCGCCCTATCTGCTGCATCGATCAGGGTAGATAGGAATGAGCATGCTGCTGCTGAAGCCTTCCCGTCTTCTTATCCTACTCTTGCATGTTTTTATCCTTATCGTCCTCCTCCAACTTCACTTTTATCCCCTGTTTTCAACTCCCAAATTCCCGGCCCTCCTCCATCTTGCTCCCAGTTTCAACCCACACCCAATCGAAAGGAGTCCCTCCGGTCCAATCGACAGGTCACTCTTCAACCCAGCGGACAGCATAGCCCCAACCCTTTCTGTTTGAAGCCGTCAATCTCCGCTAAGACTGGCATGCCTCAACGTACGTACTTTGTTACAGATTGGTCCACAGACAACACTTGGCCGAACACCAGAGGTCCTATCGATCGACATCTACTGTTTATGGGAAACTCACTTGGAACATTCGCTCTCTATGCTCACGCTGCGATTCCCCACATGCGACACTGGCGGCAATTTTTCACTGCTTTTGTCCCCAAATGCCGCAACTAAAAATGTCGATCAAGGCGGTGTAGGAATTGCTCTGAGCATCAGGGCTGAAACTGGTCTAATCTATTGGGTCCCGATCAACTGCTGGATATGCGCCGTCAGATTGACTGGCTCGTTCCAAGCTTCTAAGTCGTACGGGAACAAACGGTGCCTGCTTGTCATTGTGGCCTACGCTCCCATAAGTTGTAGCACAGACTCAATGAAAGATGACTCATATCTCTAACTGAACGAGGTCCTTAGTCACAGTAAAATTACGTAAACTGTAGTGCTGGCTGGTGATCTGAACACCCAAATCAGAAATCTTTCTAATGATGAGTATTATCTGGGCGGCCAACACAGTCCAGGCTCATGTAACGATAACGGTGAGCGGTTTCCCGATCAGACAGAGGTGCAGCATGGGTTCTGATGGACAAATCGGACTACGTCTCAAAAATGCACGCAATTCTTCAAGACTCTAAGAACTTCATGCGTCACACAGTATAAAAAGATAAAACCACAAGGGACGAGAAAAAAATCACGAGCTCGTCGATGCAACTGCGGAATTCTAACGTCATAAGTGCCCCACTATTTGAGCAGCTAACTCCAGTCGGATCACTCCCACTCCGACTCTACAGATTACTTAAAGTGCATAAAGCGTAGGGCCCCTTACGCCCGATTATTACCATGTCTGCTTCCGCCTTCCACTCGATCGCCAAGTGGATTTTAGAACTGTTAGAATTAGTACGTATAGTACTGGGTATTCACACCTTAAAACATTTTTTTGATTTTCTTACACTGGTGGAAAATCTGAGATTAGGTGGGCAATTCATGCTGTCGTTCAACGTCGAGTCACTTTTCACAAACGTTCCCTTGCTAGAAACTGTCGATTTCATATGTGAATACATGACAGAAAACCGCATAGATGTTGGTATCCCAGCACTTAAATTGAAAGAAGTGATCTCACGACGCGGTTTCGACAGACAATTCATGTTTGAAAGATGTTATTATAGGCAGATTGAGTTGCATTGGGGTAGTTCTTCATCTCTTTTTGCTCATTCTCATTTATTTCAGCCTTTACTAAAGCTGTGAAGAGAAGAAAAGGTGACACCGAGTGTCGCGTTTTTGTTGTCTCCCAGTTTTCGGTCTGGCTCCCAAGTATTATACATAATGATTACACGGCCCAGGCTAACCAATTTATTAGTTATCTGGTCCGCATTAGTCATTTTCCCAGTAATGCGGCCTGCGCCAGTCAAATTTTCTAGTCATCCGGCCCGCCTTGAAAATAGTTTAGTGACCTCTGGCCTAGAGATATGCGGACAGTATCGGAGCACTGTACGCGCATAGCTCGGACAGAGTGAGTGAAAGAGAGCAGTTGTCCTTGCCATTCTCTATATCGTGCTAAGAGACAGCTGTGTCCGATGTCACCTTTCCTTTATAATTTGGTCATTGACAAAGTCATGGAAATTGCATTTATTGCTCACAGCCTACAATGTGTAAAGCTGCTCCCAGGGGCTCGACTTGTTTACTTGTGTTTCGGGTTCCAAACATTCAATCAGAGGAACACAGCACAACCTTGGGGAACATTACGCATCTAACCTTGAGACAAACTACTAACAGTTTCCACAGTATAATTTTTTGTTTTGTTTTTTCTTTCACTACTTCTGCTTGTTTCTTGTCTCATTCAAGTCTTGGAAGAGACCACAGATAGGCTGCAAAATGACTTGTAAATTAGAAGGTACTTGTAACAACATATTACTCAGGAAGCTTCTTCCCAAGTATGTATCGTCAGTAACAATGCAGGTAGACCTAGAAACGCATTGGAAAGCGTTTCATTCTGCCTGTCTGCAGTAACGATCTACTATGTGCTTTTCTTTTTGATTTGACCTAGGAGATTTTCACCTCTTCCTTCCAAATTGCTGCATTGTCATCTATAGTACTAGTCTCCTCAAGTACCTCAGTGATGCGTTCCCGACGCCCTAATTTCCTTTTGATTTATTTTCTTTCAGCTCAGTCTGCTGAATCTGTCCAACAATCGCCTGACCCAAATGAATGCATTTTCTCTGTTGGCTTGCGATACGCACGGCTCAACCATGGTTACCATCGAGCGCATCGATTTGAGCTGTAATCCTCTCGGTGGCTTCGCTGCTTTGGCCGGCCTGCAAGGCATTGCAGGTCTAATCGAACTGGACATATCCGAAACCCCCTTGTCAGTCAAGTTTCAGCTGACTGATCGTGCGATGGCAGCGTGAGTACTTACGGACCGGTCCAGTAGATCCGTCGATGTCGGATTTGCCTCAGTGGAATTCACCACCGCCAGACCATTGAGCGACGATCAAATCGGCATGCGGACTACCCATTGCACCAAACTGCTTGGTTCTCTTTGATTATCATTTTTTTCACAACGGCACAAGGAGTATAGTTGGTTTCTTTTTATGGGTTTATCATGATCTCTGGCCTGGTCCGTCGAGGTTTACGGGTTTATAGGGTCCTACATTATACCGATGGACACTAGCCTAAATACACATTAAATAGCTAGCTTTTTCACACTAATAACTTGTCACAACCCATCGCCTTCTGGTTCCGCTATCCGTCGAATTCCGGAAATTACTGTATATTTGCTGCGACCTTAATTAATCGATTTCAGGATCTGGTGTAGCTAGACAAACCTGGCATCAGTCTGACCGGAATATCCCATGAGGTCTCCTTACATAAAGGAATACATCCAGCTTTCATATTTTGATTCTTCTTGGGGACCGTAAAATGAACTTATTTCTTCAAACGGCCCTGAGAATTTCTTTTTCATTCCACAACTTCTTTCGAGTGGGCTGTCCTTAACGCATATTGCAGTATCACACTCTTAGAACCTGAATTCCGTCAAATTATTGGATATAGGTTTCTGTTTCCGTTTCTCGGATGAATTCTACTGTGCGTAATATCTTGTCCTTAGTTCTCGAATCATTGGGTTGTCAAATAAACACTTCCTTGTTCAGGCGAAATTTTCGATCACCGCGAAGACAGGAGTTAGACGTTCATCATCCTTTTCCGGTGTGCAGTCGATAGCAAAAGTGTCCTCCAATTTCGTATGCTGGTTATGAATGTGTGTGTGTGTCAGCTTATACGCCGTAACGGCGCTTCGCTGCCGCGCGACCACCACCAGTCGTGCGCGGGCTGAGTATACCGCGAGGACGCCCACCCCTACGCGGAGATGTTGGTTATACTTACCAACAGGGGCAGATCGTATGTGCTGAGCCTAACAACACGAAAAATACCTTGTATCGAAACAAACCATCAAGGTTTCAGTTCAATGCAATCAAGCAACTATGATCCTGGCACCGGTGCAGTAGATACAGTTGCAACTATTCAAATTGCCAGAATAGTGATAACTAACAATGGAGCGATAAAGATTGGATGCGAACGGAAGCTTAAAAAGGTATCAAAAAGGAAGTGCGTTAAACTAATCAAGATATAATAAAAATTAACAGCTAGCTGCAAGAAAACGAATACAGGTACGGCACTGACTGTGACCTGTCCGATAGGGTCTCCAACCACTGATGTGCACCATCCGGGGCCCCCATTCACAAGGACGGCATGCATCAGCCTGACCAAGTCTCTCGGTAAATTTATTCATGTTCTTATGCCACGTCATCATTTGACCAACTCGCATTTTTGCCCAACTTGGTGCAGCCACAGCACACTGAGGAAGCCGCTTCCATAGACAGGATGCGGTAGCAGTCCAAACCATCTAGAACAAAGGCGGTAAGGTGTTTGGAATCTTGATCGAAAACATACGGCGAATGTACTCGCTAGCTGATCCTTTGAAAACCTTTTTATTAGAAAGATGTGCTTGTAGCTCATCACTAGAGCGTTACATGAATCTTCTGGTTACTAATCTATCTGTTTAGTCTTTGTAAATCGTTGTCTATTTTGACAATGTTATCAGATGCACCCACTCGGAGAAGTTGACAGGTTTAGTTGGCATGTTTGCTAGCTTTTCACTCGAAACCGCTGAGCTGGCTTGAGTATTTGCTAGTAGATTTGACGGAGGTTAAATAACGGGAGCGGGTTTCGCACTCCCTTTCAGCTGAATACGATGCGCGCCACTTGATATACTTCTGCTGGACACTTGCAAGCACTAGGTTGCGCCAGTAGAATATATTAATGGAAGTGGTAGTCATATGATCAGAAGATATCACTGTCTTTAACGTCACTGTGTCATTCCTTCTAATCAGGGGTAGTGTTCGATGAACTGGGTACTGTTGCACCTACAGGTACTGAGCGCATACTTATGAGAGAAAATCACCCTTGTGACCCTTAAGCTCTTATTCGGTTCAAATTTCCTAATTATTGGTCTCTGTTGTCCTTGCCAGTGGGAATTAATCTTATTTCCATCGCAAGTCTGCTTGTTTCCTTATGACTATTGGGTTTGGTTCTCTACTGGCTTCTGCGGTTAGCCTCCTTTTATCGGTTAGAGGATACCATTGCATCCCTATCATTCAAACACAGGGACTTTATCGATTACGGCACGAGTGCTGAAGTGTGTTTCTCACCAGCGAATATGTCAGGAGCTGATGATACGGTGACTATTCGTGTCACCCGTCAATTTCCACAGTTTTAGTTGACTACGTCCTATCGTATATATATATATATATATATATATATATATATATATATATATATGTGTGTGTGTGTGTTCCCTTATACACGTCTTCGTCCTTCTGATATGACTCATTTTGATAACATGACTCCGTCAGTCTCGTTTGTCGACCTCTTTGAATGGCAGCTGCATTTGCTTTGTCCCTTTCCCTCCGTTCACTCCAATCCTTCTCACTCGAATGCCTTGGGGATCCGCCGTTCCAGGAATCTGCTGAAAGTCTTGCCTGGTTTGAAACGTTTGGTAAGTTTCCCACACGATTACATATTAAGTGAGCAGATCACTCCGTTTGGTCGTTTACAAACTTTGCGCATCTACCCAAGACCTGTATTCGATAGTTTGCTGCACTGCGACAGGTCTGCTCACATATCCACGTTCCCCCTCTTCTCCCACATGCTGCCGTAACTCTTGCGTTGTCATTTGTCCGTAAAGCCCCATCGCGAGTGTCCTTTGCTAGTCAACTGGTAGTTGGCCTGTACTACAAGGCTTTTGTCGGCAAAGTGCTTAACCCATCTTTCAAACAAAGAGTCCCCACCCACACGGTCTGTTCCGGCCTTCGTGTTCTCTGTATCGCCGCTCATCACGCAAATCCACTCCTTATTGTGCACCCTTGTGGTTGGTGTATGCTGCTCCACGAACTAGCTCCGAATCTTGGAATACCGCGCATGATAACTTCCACGTAGACCCCAATGGAACACCTTGTCGCTTCCTAAGGGGACATATTCCCATGGTCTTTTGTCGACTGGCGCTCTAGTGCTTCAGGCATTCAGCTTTTAGTCCAGAAATTGGCGGCCAGAGTTCGAGTTTGTGTGCGCCACTGCGCAGTATCCCTTAGTCTGCTCGCGAAGCGTCGATGCGACGTACCCCAACATTCTGCTGTCAACCTTATTTCACCAAAGCTCCATCAATTTGTTATCAAATTAGAAGATGCATTATTTGATTAATTTCCTCATCTCACGTATTTGGATGTGAGCATTTGTGTTCCTTTAAGTTACGTGTTCATAAATAAGGTTAGCAGTCTCTAACACCAGGACATCCGCCAAAATCAACTCTACCTCTATAGAGAAAATCGAAATGCCATCCACGTGCCATTTCGCGACCGAATCAAAGGCGGTGGCAGGCACGTAACTTGCAGAGTGACATGAGTCGAGGGACCTACATCCACCGCACTTTGATACACGGATCACAGTAGGTCAACTGAGCTGAGTTGCTAGTCGACCTTGCACTTCGATACGCACTGGCTGCTAGTGTTGCGCTGGTCTACTCAATGACATGACTGAGGTGCATAGTGAAATTGGTCAAGATTCCTGACCAGAATAAAACACCTTTGGTCACACCGGTAACTTAGTACGTTGTCTTATATGATACAATTGCGAAATCAGTTATACTGTTGGCATTCGCATTCATTGAGCTTAGGCTTTTGTTCTGCTTCTGTTCTCTAGCATTTTTGTTCACACATTTCCCCTTGCGCTTTCCTCACTGTTGTCATTTTCACAGGGACATGAATGATGGCAACTAGATCTACCACGCTTTGTCGCTTGTTTCATTACTGCTAAGGTATCTCGGATTGCCTTTTTATCCCTATTGTTCTTTCCTCTTTATATTTTGGCAGAATGGCGAAGACCTCCCTCACTCCGTACAGTTTGCTGTAGAGCAAACAGGTCGATTACCTGCATCTTCATCCCGCATTCCACTACCAAACTCCGTGCTTGGTTGTTTCCCGAACGATGAAGTTCGTATTCCTCTGCTCACATTTTTAAAGGAGTAAGTGATGCCTCTTCACTTTATTGTATACAGTAGCGGTTGCTGCCGTTAATCTTTCCTCCAGCAACCGCACACTCTAGTGTTTGCAAGCTTCTCCAGACAGTTATACTCTATTCGAAATTTGCACTTTTGCATAGTGCTCTGCTTTCAATTACCCATCATTATCATCATCAACAACAGCAGTACATCAGCCATTTGAACTGATGCTTCGCTATTATACAACCATGAGTACCTATGAAATAAAGAATAAGAAGAGGGAAAGAAGGGGGACTTACATGAAAACCTTAATGCCCTAAGCAGACATTCAGGGTCAAGGCGCCTGCACCTTATGTTAACAACATACCGTCACAAACAGCTGGTTATCTTGCAAAGATAAGGCGACATCGGTGAGACAGCTTCCTTGCGGCTTTCACTGCCACGCGTCATAATCAGCCATTACCCCGCAGATAACTCAGCACCAAACACACTTTAAACAGGCAGTCCGATTAGGAGACGGCAGCAGACGCGCCACTGGTGTCGGTTGCGAGCCATATCCTGTAAAGTCTCAAACCAAGCACAAGTCGTGTCACGTGGCCTCCAGCCCGGAAGGCGAGACGGACCAACGGCACCCAGTTTGGTCGTCAGTGACTTCATTTCCCGCTGCCAAGTCGACTTCTGTCCACCTCGAGCCTTGCGCCACCCTACACCTGGCAGACTAAACAAGGCCCTCCTAGGTAAGCGGTGACCAGGCATACGTAGCACGTGCCCTAGCCAACGCAACTTATTCAGTGCTATCTGTTGTTCTAGGGAGCTAGCATGATTATCACTACCTAGTACTCGCCTACACACATTATCGTTGCGGACATGCTGATGCCATCCGACTCCAGCAATGCTTCGCAAACAACGATGATCAAAGACTTGAAGGCGCCTCAGATCTTCAGACCGAAGGGGCCAAGTCTCACTACCATAGAGCAGAACGGCCCTCACTGTGGCCTTGTATACACGACCTTTCGGACGAAGGGAAACTCCCTTCTGTCGCCAAAGATGCCGCAGATTCAAGAAGGCAGCTCTGGCTTTTGCAGTGCGTGAGCTGACGTCAGTTTCTATGCCCTAATCGTTGCTGATGCAGTTGCCAAGATAAGTGAAATGGTCAACCACCTCGAGTTCCTCGTTAGCAAGCGTCAAGGGGTCATCAAGTGGCTGGTGGTTCTGCAGCAACACTTTGCACTTTGCAAGTGCGAAGTGCATACCAAATAATGGGACCACTCTGAACAGGCTATTCAGGGTTGATTGTGCCGCCCCAACATCGTCGAAAAGCAAGACGATATCGTCTGCATAATCAGGACTAACAAACCTTTCACCAGGCATCACTTCAACGCCTACATCGTGACATTCCACAAGGAAACACTCCATGATAGAATCCACGACGAAATTGAACAAAAATGGGGAAATCGGACAACCCTGATGAATGCCACTTGTGGTCGGAAAGCTATACGACATCTCACCGTGGACGCTTTTGCGGCCTGTAGTATTCGAGTATAGAGCACGAAGGATGTTCACATATTTCGTGGGAACACCTTTCCGCGCAAGTATTTCGTACAGAATCGATCGACCGACTGAATCAAACGCACTGTTGAAATCGAGGAACACAGCTATTGTCGGTCTGCTTTATGCGTGGCGCTGTTCCAGCACCTGTCGCAAATTAAATATATAGTCTATACAGCCACCTCCTGGGCGTAAACCTGCCTGCTCTTCCCTAATCCGAGATTCCCGTTCTGCAGTGAGGCGACGAACGACAATCGAGGCCAGTAATTTTGTCACAACTGGCGTTAGACTAATACCCCTGTGGTTAGAATAGTCTGTGCGACTACCCTTCTTGTATATTGCCACTATAATCGATTCGCTCCACCCAGCCGGGACACTCTTCATTCCAGATGCGTTCGAATAGGGAGGTCAGCGCTTTGCAGAGGACCTCACCTCCATCCTTAAATAGTGCAGGTGGGAGGGAATCCGGACCAGCGGCACGAAAACGATTGAGGGCTGTGATCGCGTTTCGGACCTCGGCCTCCGACGAAGGCTCTAAACTAACCGTTCATGGCTCGTCCTGCATCACCTGAGTAGGAAGAGGTCCGGGAGCAGGGGGCCAGCTGAACTGGTCTTGAAAGTGTTTCGCCCAACTAGCCATACGGCGCTCCTTATTGTGTATCAGTGCACTCGCGCTGTCTCTGATTGTCTCACTGACGCCAGGTTTCCTGGGACCAGTGGTGCGGATTAGCTGAAAGAGCTTGCGGTAATTGCCTACTGCTCCTGCCTCCTCCATTTCTTGAGCCCGAGTGGCCCACCAGGATTCCTTGTCAGCACGTAGGCTCCGCTTTAGTTCACGCCTAATAGCCCGTCTGGTTACATTGTGTTCAGAGCCAGCCGGGAGGTTTCTTCTGGATTCCAACAGGTTCACCGACCTCTCGGATATCCAGTGACTGGTGCGGTGACAATTGATAGTGCCACAAGCAGATGATCCTACGTCGTGCATGACGGCTGAGATCCTATTCCACTGAAGCTCATTGTCATTAGGACAAGACAGCGGAAGTTCGATACGCAGTCCTTCTTGATTTTCTTGCCTGACCGAGGACTGAGACAATTTTTCAGTTGCCAATCGTAGGGAACGTTTGGTGCGCCTCCCGGTAAAGTTCATGGAGAAACGACAGCGCACCAAGGCATGATCAGAGTCGACACAGGTACTCCAATACGAGCGGCCATCCAGGATGGAACCACGCCATCTGTAACATATGGCAATGTGGTCAATTTGGGTCCATCGCTGGCCAGCTACGGGAGGACGCCAAGTGACACTTCGGCACCCACTGTGTCTACAAGCAGTGCTACTAAGAAACAACTGGTTCTCCGCACACAATTGCAGCAGACGCTCGCCGTTGTCAGTCCGTTCAGAGTTAAGCCCATAATTACCACCCAGCTGAGCTTCTGAAGAGCTCAGACGCCCTACTTGTGCGTTCATATCCCCTGCAATTACTATAATATCTGAACTAGTAGCACTGCGTAGTAGCGCGTTCAGTTCGTGATATAATGTGTCCTTGAGAACATCTGAACTGCAGTCGGTGGGAGCATAAGCGGAAATCACACACAAACAGCGTTTTGTACTACTTCGTGAATCAACCTTGGATGATGTCGTCAAACGGGCTGCACATAAACGGCTGTTCACCGGAATCCAATCAACCAACGATGGTTCAGCCTTCGACCTTAGAATGATACCTACACCAGCTTGACCAGTGGGTGCTGCATCGGCGTCTTTGGATGCGTGTAACCAATAACTAGTGGATAAGCCAGGTGCAGTCAATTCAATAACCCCGTTAGAGTCATTGATCCTAGATTCGGACACACAAAACACATCAATACCTAGTGTGTCCATCGCAATGAGGCCGGACCTTACCGTGGTGCGATGGTTTGTGTGCCTCAGCGATCCATTGAGCTACGCTGGGTGGTGATTTTGCACCTTCAGAGTCATTCATACCAGATTGGTCAATGGTTAGAGGCCAGACAAACTCAGCCTCCTGGTCCTCCAGGTTTGCGGTTGGAATGAGAGTGGCACCTTATTCCTTAAAACGGACTCCTTGTAGCCCACCGCCAAACCCGCTGCTTTACGGTAAGGTTTTTGAACCAAAGGCTTTGGTTGAGAACCTTAATCGTTCTCCTGTCTAGGTCTGGGCAACCTGACAGTATCCTTCCCACGCAATATTATGTATCTTACTTCAAACAATTTCTTGATGCTCTGGCCACCGCAGAGGATAATCAACGGTGCCCTATCTGCTGTATCGAGCAGGGTGGATAGGGGGTTGGATGCTACTGCTCAAGCCTTCCCGTCTTCTTATTCCCCATCTTACGGTTTTTCACTCTTACTGTCCCCTTCCAACTTCACTAATCTCCCCCCAGTTTTCAACCCCCCGATTCTTGGCCGTCCCTCAACATGCTTTGCTAGGCATTTCCCTTCTAATTTCAACTCACATATGAACGCGGAGCGTTACTCCTCTGCTGTCGACAAGCCCATGTCCAACCAAGCGGTACATTCCAGTTCATCGGCTTCCATTTGGAGCCCTCGATCGTTCTTCAGATTGGCATGCCTCAATGTACGCACACTGCTACAAATCGGTCAACTGGCAGCACTTGCCCGAACGTTGGAGACCCTCTCGATCGATATCTGCTACTTATCAGAGACTCGTCTGCAAGACTCGAGCACTGTTCTCACTCTGCGATCCCGTTCAGGTGACACTAACAGCACTTTCTCATTGCGCCTATCCGGTGACGATGCAGCTTCGAGCACCGGCCAAGTTGGTGTTGGCATTGCCCTGAGTCCCCGGGCTGAAGCTGCTCTGGTTGACTGGATTCCAATCAGTAGCCGGATGTGTGCGGCCCGATTGGCTGGTTCGTTTAAAGCTTCGAAGTCGCGCGGGACTAACAGGTGTCTATTCGTTATCGCTGCCTACGCGCCCACAAATTGTTGGGATGATTCGATAAAGAATGACTTCTACCGCCAACTGACCCAGCTCCTTCGCCACAGAAGAAGCACGGACACTGTTGTGTTGGCTGGGGATCTGAACGCACAAGTTGGAAAGTTGTCCACTGATGAAATGCATCTGGGCGGTCAACACGGTGTAGGCTCCCGTAATGATAACGGTGAGCGGTTACTTCATTTGTGTGAAGATGCTCGCTTATTTCTTGCGAGCACTAATTTCCGACACAGCACTCGCCGGAGGGTGACTTGGCGCCCACCAGCCTCGAACCAGCCTTGGACGCAGATCGATCACATTGCCATCAGTTACCGCTGGAGAGGCTGCATCCAGAATTGTCGCTCGATTTGGAGCACATATGTGGACACCGATCATGCACTTGTATGTGCTGACATGCGGATGTGTTTTGGCGGATGCCCACGACGACACTGTGAGCGCATTGACACCAGCCAACTGACAAAGCCAGCTGTTCTGAATGCGTATCGAAGTACGCTGACATGCGAGTTGAGTAATCGCTCACTGGAGACAATCGATGGTCATTGGTCACATGTTCGCCAGATCTTACTAGCAGCAGGCAAATCCTCATGTAGTATGTCTAATAGCCAACATGGACATTGGGTCTCTTCGCGGTCTCTGGAACTTATTGACACTCGCCGGCATATCCCGGCTGGAAGCGAGTACAATGAAACTCGCAAAGAGCTCCGGGCAAAACTCCGTGCTAGCCTGAAGAGAGACCGTGAATCTTGGTGGTTTGTTCGTGCGTCAGAGATGGAAGTGGCCGCTGCCCTTGGCAACCATCGTAAGTTATTCCGTCTGGTACGGGAAACGGGCAGCAGGAGACCTGGTGTTAGCGAGACAATTTGTGACGATAATGGACAACCTATCCACAATTTGTCAAAACGTTTGGAACGTTGGGCTGAGCATTTTGAAAAGCCATTTAATCGGCTAGAATTGTTCGATTCGCCGGTCACTGATCGCCCTGCTCCGTGGGATGTCCCTTTGGATCCACCCTCTCGCTCATAAGTCGAACGTGAGATCGGACTGTTGAAGTTGAACAAAGCCGCGGGATCAGATGATCTTCCTCCAGCTCTCTTCAAATTCCGAGGCTTTGCTCTTGTTGATGCTTTACATGAATTACTAGTGAAACTGTGGGAGCAGGAGATTGTCCCAACCGACTGGAGCCGGTCCGTTATTGTTCCCATCTTCAAAGGCGGCTCGCGTTCGGAATGCGGCAACCATAGAGGAATCCGTCTGATCTCCATCGCCTCCAAATTACTCGCTTCCATAATTCTTCACAGACTGACTGGCGCTCGTGAAAGCCAGATTCGTGAGGAGCAAGTCGGGTTTCGTCGGGGTCGTGGCTGCATCGACCATATCTTCACCTCGCGTCAGTTGTTGGAGCACCGTCACACATACTGGCGCGACATTACTCTCGCTCTGAAGAGTAGAGTGTACAATACAGCGGTACGTTCGACCTTACTGTACGGTTGCGAAACCTGGCCCCTAAGATCGGCCGACATGAAGAGGCTAGTTACGTTCGACCATCGGTGCCTTCGCAGTTTGGCTTACATCTGGTGGGAACACCGCTTGAGTAACGAGCGTGTTCGACGCCTTGTTTACGGCCTAGGAAAAGGGAATGAACCGCTCAGCACCATTATTTCCCGCACCAGGCTCCGATGGCTCGACCACGTGTTACGCATGCCAGCCCACCGACTCCCTCGACTTGCGTTGTTTGCTCACCGGGGGTGTGGGTGGAAGAAGAGGAGGGGTGGCCAAGCGATGACTTGGTCGAGAGGAATGTACGCCCTCACTTCGGAGCTAGCCTCGGTTGGAGCTTCACGGCTCCCTGGTTGGGGTCCAAAAGACGATGAACACGTTTGACTGGATACACTTGCTGATATGGCAAGGAGCCGACCTCAGTGGCGTTCGTGCTGTGAGTTTCTTTGTCCCACCCCATCCCTTTTAGCCTCCCCCTCCATCTACGATCTCATTTCATAGGGTAAAACATAACAATTTTTTGCCTAGTAAGCTGGCTGGTAGCTTACCGGAACGATGCCTACCCGTTGCTGGTAGCTCAGCTGGCATGTAACTGCCGTATTTATTTTTTCTTTATGCATTGTATGTATGTATATATTTCCTTTATGTATTGCGGTACAATAGCGGAGGTGTTTCACCACCTCGAGCTGACATGTATAATGATGATGATGATGTGTCCAAGGTGCGTGCGAGTGCAGCCTGTTGACCTGTTTGTCTTAGAGTGCGAACGTTGAATGTCGCTATGGAAACTGGATAGCGTGGCCTCATAAGGGACTTTTGCCGATAGGTGCGGTGGGATGGTTGCTGCAGATGGTTCTACTCCAGTAGCACTTCGGTTGCTGTCAATTAAGCTGGGAATTATAGAAGGAAGGTTAGTAATGGGAGTCTGGATGGGAGTAAGAGGAAAAGGTGGAAAAGAAAGAAAGGAGGCGCCAGCAGTAGCATGTTTTCGCTTATCCGCCCTGCTGTATGCAGCAGATAAGGCGACCCTTGATAATCTGCGCGACGGCCGATGCAGGATGAAGTTTATGTTTGAAGAAAATGTCATGGTTGTATGTGGGCTGAGATACTGCCAGGGCGCCCAGACCTAGACAGGAGGACGATTAGGGTCCTCATCCAAAGCCTTTGGCTCAAAAGACTGTCCGCAAGGCAGCGGGGAGGTGGCAATGATTTAGTTTTGCAGCAATGGACGCCATCCCATTTCAAACCCCTAACCTGGAGGTCCAGGAGACTGAGTTTGTCTGACCTCTCACCACTGACCCAGTACCTGATTGAGCTTTTTAATCTGCAGTTTCAACAAATCAGAGCAGGCTGATTATTTATGCGGTTGGGTGAGGTGAGCCACTTAGTTGTCGATCCATCATTACCTCCGTGGTACGATCGGCGCAAGAGGCGTTGTGTATCGCGTGGTGCCAACTTGTTATCAGATGCGCTGTTGCTCCAATTTTCTTTTCTAGACGGCCTGTATTGTTTGGGTTCAGTCACTGCAGTTATGGGCAAAGCTGGCTACCTTTTGCTTGTCTAAATTATTAATGTTTCATCTCACTCAAGCTACCTTGTTCCAGTATATCAACTGCGCCTTGTTTTTATCGCTTCAAAAGCACCTTATGCTCTTGATTAGTTTCATTTTGTTACTCTTCATTACATTGTTAAGGCTGTTTTGCATGGCATTGGTTCGTCGTTGTTAATCCGATGACGCTACTGCTGCCTATTCGGGCCTTTCTCTGTTCAGGTTCTTCACCCGATATGACTCAAAACCTCGGGGCGACAATTTACTCCCATATTACACAACCGCATCTCAGCTGGTCTTGTCTGTCAGCCCTGATAAACCTTATCCCGGTGGTCAAATGCCATACTCAAACAGTGCGCGTATGGATACTGTGGCTGAAGATGGTACCAAGTTGAAAATCACACTAATGACCGCCCGCCTTACACCCACGTATTTTCATAAAAGCCGCAATTTACTTCGCCTGCACAATGAAAGCAAGCGTAAGGAGGTCGTGGCTCGAGGCAGTTTGGCGTGCGCCTCCTTATTGGATGAACTTCCTGCCACGGAACATCCCCTTGAATCACTGAGTGTGGATGTTGCGTTTCATTCGGTGAGTCATTTTTCTCCCATCTTTGGTAGGTGCTGAGTTCCAACCTATCACTCAATATCGAAATGAGCTATCACTTCGATGTTCGTCATAGGCCTTGATTAAGGGACGCTATGTTATTTTCACATGTTTGTCCCCTGCCGCTTATCATCCGCCCCTGCGTGACGCCGCATCCGTCATAACTTTGTGCAAGAGATCAAGCACCACTTTTTGTTGTTGTTGCTGCTGCTGTTGTTGTTTGTGGTGCTAGTGGTGGTGGTGTTATCCTTGATGCTCCTGTTGTTATCGTTGTTCGATAGTTACTAATTGACTTAAGCCGCATGATTCACATTGCTATTTCCCCTTCGGATGAGCATGCACCAGCTCGCCTGCGCTTTTTAAAACAGCACCGTATCTCTCCCCTTTTAAACTATCATCGAAAAGGTGCTGGGGTTCCTTGTCCTTGCACCTTTCGAGTGTGAGATAATGCTGCCTGTGGTTTCTATGTTTACCGTCAAGCATGCGTGTTCATGGTTATGTGTCGTACCCTGCTTTTTCAATGGGTGATCTCGTCCGATTCACGCATTAAGGTGCTTGGCCCCTCGGTGCGCGAAGGGCCTTGTAACCCAAAGGTCACCGGTTCGAATCTGCGTAGGTGTGTGCGACAGTATCACTAGCGACTAGTGGTGCTCGCGTGGTAACAAGGCGTCGATGTGGCTTGCTGCTTATGCCTTTTACTGGGTGCTTAAAGTGAATAATGAAGACTGACGGCTCACAACTGTGTTAGTTGACCTTGTGCATAACTATTTGGTTATTGTTGCTATCTTACAACTGGTTATTGTTATCTTATCGGAATTCTTTGTCCCTAGTCCCCTTATCCTCTTGTCCAGTTTTTTAACCCATTGCCTCTACTTCGCTCTCATCGTTTGTTCATTACTTTTCGTTCGTTCTTTTCGCGATCGTGAAGTCATCACAAATGGTTTTTACCGTATCTGGTGTGTTCTACGAAGTGCACCAGCAGTCGTCTGACACACAAACTGAAGCGAAAATCATTCGGAAAATTCTTCGCTGTTTTTCACGGACAATGATCTTGGTCGCACCTGGCGGACACATTATTCAAGACGACTTCATAATCTCTAATCCAAGCCCGCCGTTGTGCAAGGTATTTATGCCATTTTCTTCCCTCACGTTTACTTTTTGTGTGCAGCTTTATTTGGTTAATGATACGTAAAATCATCTTTTTCTTTTCCAGAAGTACATTACTGGTGTAGTTTGTAAGAATCGATCGGAAAGAACCTCAGAAGCCTCATCCCTGCAAGCTCTTACCGACGGTCCGGACGGTAACACGCAAACTGTCTTATTAAATGAACTCAAACAACGCTCCGGTATGAATGAAGCTTTTAGCCGACAATGTTTGCAAGAGTATCAGTGGAACCTCGAGGCGGCTTTAAACGCTGTTCAAACGCTCAGTTCTGCCGGAAAATTGCCTCCGGAAGCTTTTGCCTAATCAGTTCCCTCATCTCCGATACCTCATTGCAAATACATATACATATATATTGAAACTGAGATTCGTTTGTTTAACTTCGTGCCTATTACCTTCCTACCTCACCACTGCTTTAGTTGAGTTTGCCGGCGGGTAACCCACCGATTGTTGTGCGTATGTTGCTGCATTGGTTACCGCCCTGCGGAAGCTTCCGTCATTAATTTCGAGCCACTCCCAACCAATGGGCTTCGTCCGGGTACATATTGAAAAAAATTACCTTTGTCGGTCTGAGCTACAGGCTCTTGCGCCGAACAAACCCGGTATAAAATCGCATAACTTCTGTTGACCCTATCGTTACTGTGGCTATGAGGAGCGTGGTTGCAGGCGTTCCAATGCTGTTTGAGCGTATGTTGGTGCTTGTGGGGTTGCCCGTTCGGTAAATTCCTCTAGAGCTCTTTGTTCACCTGTTCTGTGTTCACCTTCCAATTTCCACCCCATAGTTCTATTGTACATAGGCCACCCTCAGAGACCTTGGTTTCATTGCGTCTCACTGTACCCATGCTGACTTTTCGGCCATTATTTCAAGATGTACTGCTTTTCGATATCGGAGCCATGTCAACTCTACCTGCTCTGTCTCTCTGTTCATACGGGTTATGCTGCATATCATGTGTTACTTGTTGCGAAGTATGCAAGTCTACTTACCGTGTACCGCAAATAGCCGTGAGCAAGTTAGATACTGTTGGTTACTCTTATTCTCTCATCCTTCACTTCTCGGATCATTCGCTGTCGCACCTTTTCCTGTCGTCAACAGTGTTTATGTGTTATTGATCCCTGGTCCCTGTCAGCTTCACAATCCCCATCTGTCTTTTGCTCACTGATATAGTTCCACCCAACTTGCTCTTCGACTGAATTAGGGACAACTTATTTTTACTTCTTTCCTTCACACTGTTGCCTCATCAAATGAACTGCTTGGCCACAATGTAACTGATTATTTGGAATACATTAATGACAGCAGCATTCAACCATAATCACTTGCCCGCTGCATTCCCACTATTCGCACTCTTGGTACAAACAGTGACCAGTTCGTGGGAAGTTGCTAGTACATCCAGGAGACATTCTCGGCCAAAAATCCCTTGGTGATTAAATGCCGTAGATGGACTATGCCCATGGCTGATCCGCTTAGTCGCAACTGCGTTGAGCAACCAGAGGACGTTTATTATACAGCGTGTTTTCATTACTTCACGCGATTTACACCGTGCACTTCGCATCTTTGAGCTGTTTTCGTCATGTGATCCACCACACACCTAATTCCATTCTGCATCATTTCCACCCTGTCATCCCCGGTGTTTCGATCATGCCCTTTTCCTTCCGACGTTTTTTCACCCACCTTAACCTCGTAGCGTTTGTCTCTGGCTCCCGTCGTCACCATAGTATGTTTCCATATCTCGCGAGTACCGGGTGTCGGTTGGATTACAGCCCGGTCTCCCGCTGCTACATCAGATGGCACTTGATCTCTACGGCAGCACTGCTATTTACAAGGCATGATTGACCTCTGTATTCTTTACGGTCGGTTCTGTGAAGCGGAGCGTAAAAGTGTGGCTTTTGCCCGCAGAAATAATCTTTCCTTGCACATCTGCATTTTATGTGATGGGTTTAGATCAATGTCCGAAGAAAATTGTTTCTATCCAAAAGCACAAGATACGATTCCTACAAAATGGTTCTGGCCTTCACTACAACCTCGGCTTTATTTACTGACTGTGATATGGATTGGTCTCTATGTGCACTTTCCCACTTGGTTGTGGGGGAGATGGTATTCAGCACCAATTCTCCTGGTCTTTGGATTCGGACAAATTGACATCTGAATTCACCATTCACCGCTTTTCTTGTGATCGCTGACCAATCAATTTCGAACTAATCACTACGTTGTATTACAGTCTTTGAAATCACTACGTTAATATACTATTATTAGGTAACTCTCCGTTGTCGCTGGAGCTTAGTATTCTGCCACCGGTTCCTTCGTCTACAAGTTTCGTAACACTTGGCCCCTGATTTCAATAGATTTTTTTACTCTGCTTATGTTATGGGTAGCACCCACATAGCATCCTGTCGGATCGATAACTGTATCGGGACATGATTCCGCTTGAGTATCAGACCACGTTTAACCGCTCATCAGACTTTGAAATGAGTTAACGGTTCTTCTGAAGGCTAGTACTTCACATATGCCCTTCATTTCGAGATCACACCTCAGCACTGCGCCTCGGTATGGTGTCTTATTTCTTCCAGGCGTTCTATTGTCCCAGTTTTATAGTCTCGACGATGTCCAGTTACTGGCATGTGATCCCTTTGCAACATGTCTGCAGTGAACATCTGTGTTTCCGACCTAAGCATAATACCTATGCCATATCGTTGAAGCCACGTCTCCACCGTAGAAGAAGCCACGGGACGCGTAGTAGTTTCCTGTCAACAAAGATTCAATTTCATACAGGATTTTCTCTTTACTTATTTCAAAATAGTAAGAAAAACCATTTAACTGAATACACTGAACTCAGGTATTCCGAGTGTTCTTGTCAGCTGTAAGCACACATTCGTGAAATTATCGCGTTGCGCACGAAAAGGAAGCCTTGTACGAGGTCATTCTCAGTTCAAAGGAAAACCATCAATAGCCTCACTAAGGTAAGGCGAGACTTGCCGTAAGTTTACTCTGCTTGCACAAATTGGGCTTAAGCCGCCGAGTAGCTGAGGTTTCGGCAATCTGAAGCAGTCGGGCATTGCTCTGTTGTTTGATCGTCATCAACATGGTCATTCACATTAGATAGAAGTGGAGAACGCCTCGGCTACTGTGCCGCATAACATTAAAAAGCATGCAACCGGTGCATGTCACCCTAGCTACCAGTAACGGATGGGCATCGTCCCGGAAAGCAACTTACCGGCTGCTATGCAGCAAAAAATCTTATGCAAAATTAAATTATGCTAAGAAATGAAATAGTGGTTGGATGAGGAGGCTAAGAGAGATGGGGAGGGACATAGCAACTGACAGCATGAACGCCACTGAGGTCGGCTCCTAGCCATATCAGTAAGCGTATCCAGCCAAACGTGTTCATTGTCTTTCGGATCCCAACCAGGGAGCCAAGACGCTTCAAATGAGGCCATCTTCGATGTGATGGCCTTCATTCCTCTCGACCAAGTCAGCGCTTGGCCACCCCTCCTCTTCCATTTGCAACCCCGGCGCACAAATAACGCACGTCGCCGGGGAGCTGGTGGGCTGGCATGCGTAATACTTGGCCGAGCCATCGGAGCCTGGTGCGTGAAATAACGGTGCTGAGCGCTTCTTTTCCTGTACCGTAAACGAGGCGTCGAACACGTTCGGTGTTCCCACCAGATTGCAAAGGCACCGATGGTCGAAAGTATCTGGACTGTCCATTTCCATTGATCTAAGGCGCCAGGTCTCACAACCGTGCAGTGGGGTCGAACGTACCACTGCATTGTGCACCCTACCCTTCAGGGCGAGAATGATGTCGCGCCGGTGCCACAGGCGACGAAGGTTAGCAAAAGCGCCTCGAGCTTTTTCTATACGGTTCGCGGTCTCATCTTCGATCTCAAGGGCGCTGATACAACTGCCCAGGTAGTTGAATTTTCGTACGACTTCTAGCTTGATCCCCTTGGGGGAAAGCTTTGCACTTCGACAATGTGAAGCGAAGCGGCTGACAATCAGTGCTAATCTGTCTAGTGCCACTTGTCATGTTTGTATGCTGTCACACATTAAGGCAATATCGTCAGCGTACTCCAAGTCTCTTGGGAGCGGCTCCACATATTCTAAGTCGTGTCATGTGAATGCGATCTCCCTGATTTCGTCAATATCGATGTTGAAGAGGAAAGGTAACAACAGACATCCTTGTCTCACACCGCTGGAGATATTAAAAGGCGACGACAGCTTGCCGTCAGCCCTCTGTCCGAGCTACGCGCATGTAATACTCGGATGATATTTACATACTTCTCCGGCACACCTTTCCTGAGCAGACAGTCCCAAAGGGCACATCGATCCACAGAATCAAAGGCACTTTTCATGTCGAGGAACACGACTACGGTGGACCGCCAATGTATGTGTCAGTGCTTCAGCAGCTTATGCAAAGTGAAGATGTGATCGATGCAGTCGCGGCCCCCACGAAACTGGGTTCACTGACTTTCACGAGTTTCAGTCAGTCTATGAAGGCTGACAGGCAACCAATTTGGAGGCAGTGGGGATCAGACTGATTCCTCTATAGTTGCCGCATTCCAATCGTGAGCCTCCCTTGAAAATTAGGGCTATGAGGGAGCGACCCTAGTCGGTTGGGACAGTTTCCTGCTCGCACAGTTTTACTAGTAACTCATATAAATCATCCGAAAGAACAGGTCCCCTGAATTTGAGGAGGACTGGGGAAGATTATATTGTCCCGCGGCTTTATTCATCTTCAGGAGTCCGATGTCACCTTTGACTTCTGAGCAAGAGGGCGGATCCAAGGGGCGAGTCTAGGGAGCGGGACGATCAGTGGCCGACGAGCAATCTGACAATTCCGACCGATTAAATTGCCTTTCAAAGCGCTCTGCACAACCTTCCTAACCTTTTGACAAGTTGTGGCTAGGCTGTACATTCTCGTCAAGTATGGTTTCACTAAATCCAAGTCTCTTGCTGCCCGTTTTCCGTATCAGACGCAATAACACGGTTACCAAGGGCAGCGGCCACTTCCGTCTACGATGAGACCACCAAGGTTCGTGGTCTCTCTTCAGGCTTGCACGGAGTTTTCCTGAGGTTTTTGCGCGTCTCATTGTGTTCGATCCCAGCCGGAATGTGCTGGCGAACATCGCTAAGTTCCTGAGACCGCGGCGAGACCCAATGTCCATGTTGGCTATTAAACATACCACATGAGGACTCGCTTGCTGCTATTAAGGTCTGCTGAACATGCAAACAATGACCTTCAATTGTATCCGGTGAGCGCTTACTGGACCTGAATGCCTAGTTTTACGTGGGATAGATAATGTCAGGTTGTTCAGCCCTAGACAGGAGAACGATTGGGGTTCTCAACCAGTCTTTGGTTCAAACACCTGACCGCAAGGCAGCGGGTTTGGCGGGGGACTACAAAGAGTCAGTTTTGAGGAACAGGGTGTCCTGGAGAAAGTAAGAATTGCCTAGAATATTCATATTTCAGCGATTAATCGATTATTAACGATTATCGCATTTATTTCGAACGTTCTGGCATGTTCTAAGTTTTGCACGTGACTACATACCACCTGACACCTCGGCCAAAGCTATGGGGAACCACTAACCTTGGTAGCTGATCTTCCAATTCTAGAAGTCGAAGGTCAGTAATGGACCTATAAATACAGCCAAAGTCCGCAATAGTTATACTGTGCTTGTTGATAATAGTTAATACCTTTTGTCAAGGTAATTGTTGTTCTGCTTTTTTCGGTTGGGCTAGAAGTTTTGTGGAGCGGTAAAGTGCCAATTTCGGAATCGCGTCTAGTGAGTAGATTATAACACATGGCGACGGAGAAAATTTGAAATGTGCTGCATTTTTCCACTGAGCAATTTCAAAAGCTGCTTTTCCAACAGCAATCTCAAATGGAGGCACAGATGAAAATGATCGAAAATCTGACACAATACTTGAGTTTGCAGACGACAAGAGCAGCGACGCGGGACATGCAGGCGAGTTCTGTTGATTTCACGAATACAATCACTGAATTCAGTTATGACGCGGATTCTGGATGCACACTCGAGGCGTGATTCAGGCGCTAGGAAGACATGTTCCGGACGGACTTCATTCGTCAGGACGACTCCTGGAAGTTGCGATTGTTACTCCGCAAGCTCGGAATAAGTGAACATGCAAGATTCATAGACCACATTTTGCCCAAACAGCCGAAGGATCTGACTTTTGACGAAGTAGTGTCGCAGCTGAAGGAAATTTTTGGTGAGTCAGCATCCTTGTTTAGTATTCGCTATCAATGCCTGAAAATTGTCAAACAGGAATCTGACGACTTTGGGGCCTTAGCAGACATGATTAACCGTGAGTGTGAACGTTTCAAACTACGCTCTTTAACGGACGACCAGTTTAAGTGTCTCATTTTCGTCAGCGCTCTACAATCGCCCAGTGATGCTGAGATCCGCATGCGGCTTTTAGCTAAGCTGGAGCAGGATCCTGACCTGACACTGAAGGCCCTCGTAAGCGAATGCAAACGGCTGCTCACTCTAAAACACGACACTGCCATGGTCGAACGAAATGGTCTTGCACCACCAGATACCGTGCAACTCGTGAAAAAGGCCAGGACCGTCAACCGAAGCAAACCCTTCAAGAGGCCTACGAACAAACCGCCCACATCATGCTGGTCATGCGGCGAGTGGCATTTCGCGCGCTTTTGTCCCTTCAAACATTATATTTGTCAAACGTGCCATAAGCGTGGTTATAAAGAGGAATGTTGTAGTCAGGTCCGGTCGAAGAAAGTGAAATCTTATCGAAAGGGGAATTCTAGAACTAATGGCGCAGTCTCTCTCCATAGTTGCCGCATTCCAAAGCGAATGTAAATCAAGACGACGATTCATCACTATAGTGACCAATGGGATTCCAACGAAACTGCAATTTGACACGGCCTCGGATATCACGATTATTGACAGGAGCAC